AAAAAATTTATAACTTGTAACATTTTATAAATAAAGTAGGCAATGTGTTAAATGACAATTTGAAATAATGCTGTAAATGTAATTTTTAGTAATCTTATTAATTGCAGATAAACAAAAAAGGAAATGTTGTTTCCTGACATAAACCATTTCAAAATTTTGTTTTGTTTGTAACAATGCATTTGGTATTTTGTTATTTTGTGTAAAAACTTAAAAATGAATTTTGTTTTGTTTCTGTTTTTAAGCAATTTATTCAGTTTTGGAATAAGTCAAAATAATTGCATTTGGAAAAATGAAGTTTCCGGTCAATTATGGAAACTTGTTTGGGAAGAGAATTTTAGCTCAAAAAGCTTAGATTCAAACAAATGGAAAGTTGCAAGTTCTGAAGAAGATTCCCAATTTTGCGATTGTAAGTAAAAACAATTTAAAAATACTTATTAGTTAATGAAGTATTTTAGCTTTTTTAGAATGTCTGTCATCTGACAACGTTTTTTTGTTTGGTGGTTTTCTATTTGTTACTTCTAAATTTTATGAATACGAAAATTACACATCATCTAAAATAACAACACCTAAGTTTGTAAAACCTGGTCGTTTTGAAGTTCGAGCAAAATTGCCGAATGATCCAATGAGTGTGACTCGTATTCAGACATCAATTGATTCAAGTCAGGAATCGTTTATCAATGCAATAGTAAAATTTCAAGAAACATATCAAAGTTTTAAAATGCAAACTAAACTAATTAAAAACGAGGTTTTTGATCAACCAAATATTTCTGAACAAAATGAATTTCACATTTTTGGTTTTGAATGGACTTACGAAAAACTAGTCTTTTTTTGGGACAAAACATTTACAACTGAAATGAAATTTGGAAAAGGTAACTTTTGCTATTAAAATAACATTAATTTTATAAACATTCTTTTTAGATCTTTCTAAACAAATGCTTTTGACAAAAGCAGCTTTACAAATGACTATTGAAGTCAGTTACCCAACTCGACGAATGCACATTTTAAATAATGATTTTTATTCCTTAACTTTAAATTTAAAAACTAAAAAACTTGCTTGCACAGCTCTTGTTATTGATTACGTAAAACTATACGCAAATATTGAAAAAAGAGAATTAGAACCTGAATGCAACAGTTTTGGTGAAAAAAATGAAACTATTGTCAAAAATATTGATAAAACAACTTGCAAAGTTTTGCCAACAAAAACCGAAAGTATTTTTACTGGAACAAAAACATTTGAGTTAACAGAAAAGTTAATTGGTAAAAACTAGATAAAATTGTATTTTAAAACATTGACTAAATGTCTCATTCACAGGTGCAGATCAAAACGTTACTAACTTCAAAGCAACAAAAAGTTCGGTGTTGACTAATTCTCCGTTTCAAGGTACATAAAAAATTGATTTAAATATTTTATTTATTTCTTTGTTTTTAGGTGTTTTTGCCATTTTGTTCATTTTTGTATTTTTAACTTTAACATAAATTTACTAAAAAACTTAAATAAAATGTCAATGACCAATATTAAAAGTAACAAACTGTTGTACTTATTAATCAATTAAATTTAACTGATACAATGTTTTTTAGTTGATCAAAAACATTTATAATTATGTTATCAACATTACAAAAATTGTATTTTTATATTAGTTACTTAAATATTTAAAACTTTTTATGTATATAAAGAAAAAATTAATTTTTAAAACTTAACAAATTTAAAAACTAACCATGTTTAATAAAATTTTTGTTTTAACATTTTTGCATTTATTTTGTGTGCCAGTTAAATCTAAAAATAATATTGTTTATACCAAATTTAATTTAGAACAAATTGTAAAAAATCGATATTTAACAGTCGTTACAGTTTTTGAACAACTTGAAAATGTAAACATCAAAATAAATGCGGATGTCAACAAATGTTATCAATCAATACGGCAGTTAATCGAAGATGCTAAAACAGAAAAAAGTTATGCTTTACAAGGTAAATTTTAATAAGCTTATGCAAGTTTTAATTTTAAAATGTTTTAAGTTTTTGACTCCGTCGATGTGCCAAATGGAGGAATTTTTCAAGGACAGTTTGTTTATTTTGGTCGGTACAAGCAATGCATAGCCGTTTCTGAACCTCATTTTAAAGGACAATTTTGTTTATTGAATATTCACGCGCCAAACAACTTTTATAAATTTTTATCGGTTTGTAAAACTAGTTAATTTTTAATACTGCTAATAATTTTTTTACTTTAGAACAAAACTAACACTAACATTAAAAAGTTTTCAAATTTAAAAATAAAATTTGGGGTTTGTTTACCTACAGTTTGTTCTAATGAAGAAGTCCAAATACTTGGAAAACAATGTAAGTTTAATTTTATTCAGTAATTTTTGTCAAAATAACTTTTGTTAAGTTTCCCAAATGTTTCAGCCACCACTTTCAATTCCAGCATTTCAATGCATACAAAATGAAAATAATAAATTTGAACCAATTTCTGTTTTACTATTTAGGTAATTTTTATTTTGAAAATAAAACTGTTTTTAATAAAGTTTTTTTAAGTTTTTTCTTAGTTTCAATAACCATTATTATTTTTATTGGAACAATCACATTTCATTTTAAAACAGATGAACTTGATATGATGTCCCTGCCTATTTTTAAGCAAATAATATTATCTTTTGCATTGCAAACCAACTTAAAATCAATTTTTACTGTTCCGAAATCTAAAAATGATTCAATTCAAGTTTTTCATGGGATCAAATTTTTTGCTATGTGCTCAATCATAAGTTTTCATTCTTTTGCATTAAGCTCTTTTAACATTGATTTTAGTAAATATTTTATCGCTTTGCATTAATTGTATTTTATATTAATAATTTTTACAAAAACAGATAATCCACTTGAAATGTGGCACGACTTTCTCAGTCCTGTCTTTGCCAATGGAGCTATATCAGTGGATTCGTTTTTCTATATAAGCGGATACTTGGTAGCATTTATTATGTTAAAACAGTTTAGAAAACAATCTAATGTTCGAATAAACTGGCTAAATTATATTGTAAAGCGTTATATTCGCATGACACCTACAATGATGGCTTTGGTTGCATTTGGTGCACTGATAATGCGCTACATGGGCAATGGTCCTGAATGGCTTGGAGCTACTGTCTTTTATGATTTATACTGCAAACGCAACTGGTGGATCAACTTGTTGTATTTGCAGAATTTTGTTCATCAAAATGAAACTGTAAGAAACTGTTTTCTAAACAATTCATTGATATAACAATTTCATCAAATGCAGTGTTTAACTCACACTTGGTACTCAGCGGTAGACACTCAGCTGTATTTACTGTCACCAGTATTTATAATTCTTCTTTACAAAATGCCCAAAACTGCATTCGCACTGTGTTTTGCAATAATTGCAGCCTCAATAGTTGGAACATGGACTCTTACAGTGATGAACAACTATCCAGCAGTATCATATTTTACGGATTCAATGTATGTTAATGTTTCACAGCTAGATAAAACAGTGTGAAAAAGTATTAATTTCAGAACGACGCAACAACTTGTTGGCTACTACAACTCGATATACACAAAACCGTATTTCAGAGTAGGACCATACCTTGTAGGCATTCTGGCAGCTTATGCAATGTTAGAAAATTCATTCAAAAATTTTAATTTAAAAACTTGGTATTTGGTCACTGGATGGATTTTGTCACTAACGACAATGGCAGCTATCATATTGGCCCTGTACCCAACACATCAAGGAAACATTTTGGAAATTCATCTGGCTGCAACTTACAGCGCTATTGCGAGAATCCTGTGGGCATGTTGTTTGGCATGGATTACCTTTGCATCACAACAACAAAAAAACATTATTAGTGCCTTCCTTTCCTTAAAAATCTGGGTTCCTGTCAGTAAACTAACATACTGTGTATATTTAGTACATCCTGTGATAATTGCATTTTTTTATGGAAGTCAAACGAAACCTTTTGATTACTCTTTTTTGTTGATGGTAAGTTTTTTTATCATAATTCATTTGTTTGCAGCTAATTTTTTTATAGTTTTATTTCACAGTTAGTCACGTAGTGATTTCCTATTTAATTTCAATTGTTTTAGCAGTAACAATTGAATTTCCTCTTGTTTCTGTAGGAAATGTTATATTGAACAAATTGATAAAATAAAAACAATTTTTTTATTTTGTTAACTAAAATGTTTTAGAAATTTTATTTGTGTTGTTAAATAAACAATTAGCAAATGTAGACAATAAGTCCCCCATAAAATATTTCTGTGCAACATTTTTCCCCAATTCTTCCGGGCAATATGTCCGGTTGTCGGTTAAAACTGATAAGTTTTACTTATTAAATAGTTGAGTGTATTATGAGATCATTAGAAAAATATTGCAAACAAAATTTCCCTTTTGATAAAACTTTTTAATGATTTCCTGTTTTTTGTAACTTCAAAATTTTAAAAGTTAAACAATTTAATTGAATAAATTTCCTTGAATGTTTTTAAAATTGACAGCAAAAAACTAGATTAACATTTTTTTGCAAAAAAACAAAACAAAAACGCATTTTAAGAATGATTTTGTTTGCTGTGTTGTATTTTGTTTGTTTTTATGTGCAATCTTTATCTTCAGTTGAAGCTCAATATAATTCTGGTAAATTGTTTATGTTTTTGAAATTATATTTTTAAATATTTATTTTAAAGTTGGCAGGTTTTTAAACAGAATTACTCCTTCAAGGTGGAATAATCGAAAACAAAACCAAAATTATGGTAGTTTTAAATTAATTTAAATATTAATTTCATTAACCAATTTGTATTTTTATGGTAAAGATGATTCTTTTTCTAGTAACACTAATGGTCAAGCATTTTTCAATGGAGGCAGTTGCTATACTCGCGAAGGGTTGCCAGGTCGTTGTCAGGCTTTGGCTACATGTTATTATCAGTACGATAATTTAGTACAAATTGGTGAAAATCAATGCAACCTTGATCAAAGCAGTTTTGGAGTTTGCTGCCCAACAAACGACTATCGACTCACTCACAATGGTTTGTTGCAAATTGCTAAAAGTTTTGTAGTATTAAACTTTTGTTACTAGTTCCTTTTAACTTTGTGGAACCAAAATGGCCATTTGTTCAGCTACCAATTGATAAACAAGCTATTATTAAAGCAGTTGAAAAAACTGAAAATGAATTGCAAGATTTTCTTGATATGGAAACCAACTTTTTACGTGCAGGCGGTTTTCAACGACCAAACACAATGGCCTCATATCATCAGGGTGTTTTCGGTCCACCTAGCGACAAACTGCTAAAGGTTAACTTGAATGGATTTCGAGCACTGCAGGTCACCAGGCTTCTGGGTCGAAAGTTTTGCGCAAATCCATTTCAGATGCGTGATGGTCTTTGGCACTTTGATCTTTATGGAACACCGTACGAGCAGTACTGTCCAGCAATTCCTCAGTGCAACCCTGCAGACAAATATCGAACCATTGACGGCAGTTGTAACAACTTGGAACATCCAATTTGGGGTAGATCGGTGTCTCAGTTTTCTCGAATATTACCTCCCAGTTACTCTGATGGAATTAGCGAGTTTCGTTTGTCCGTTTCTGGCCGACCATTGCCTCTTGCGCGTTTTGTATCAACTCAAGTTAGTTTTAGCTTTCAATTTTTTGTAGCAGTGATTAAAAAAAGTATTTTAAACTTGTTTTTTTGTAGCTTACCTTTACTTCATCGCAATTAGATCCTGTTGTTAATGTTATGGTAAGTTTTTTGTTTATTTTCTAACTTTAAATAATTTTTACTTTTTTTCATTAAGTTTATGCAATGGGGTCAAGTAAGTAAAAACATTTAGTTAAAATCATATTGATTGTGTTAAAATTTTTGTCAATTTAGTTACTTGATCATGACATGACATTAGGATCTTCAACACGAGGTTTGTCGATACATTAAACAAATGATTATTAAAAAATTTTACATTTTTTGCTTTTATAGCTTTTGATGGCACAGGTCTGCTTTGTTGCAATCAAACACATCCAGAAAGTGCTAGTATGCACCCAGCTTGTCGGTAAATGAAACAATTTTTTATTTTAATCAAATCTATTTTAACTTTTTTACAATCAGTCCTATTAAAATTCCAAGAAATGATCCTTTTTATTCGCGTTTTAATCGACGTTGTAACAATTTTGTACGCAATGCAGTTGGCATTAAAAACGACTGCACTCTTGGATATCGAGAGCAAACAAATGTTATTACATCTTTCTTTGATGCTTCACCTGTCTACGGAAATGATCTTAATCGATCGAGAATTGTCCGAACTTTTAAAAATGGTACGACAGTTTAAAAAAGGTTTTGATTTACAATTTTAACTTTTTGTTTAGGTTTGCTTCGAGTTTCACAAATAAACGGACGAGAGTTTTTGCCATATGATACAATGAACAACTCTTTGGTTTGTTCAATTCCTCCGAGAATGCAAATGCCGGGAACTGCACAACGAAGATGTGTTTTTGCCGGTATGTTAACTAAATTGAAAATTTCAATAACACGCTAGACAAAGTAAATACATTCTACAGGTGATGTTCGAGTCAATCAACAAACAGGAATCACTACTTTGCAGCTGTTTTTTCTACGGTAATTTTTATTTAAGTTGAACTTAAAATTTCACATTTTTGTTTTGTTTAAAGTGAACACAATCGATTGAGTCGCGAACTTAAAAGAATCAATCCGCGTAATATATTTTTTACAATTTAAAATGTTTGGTTTGAAGCAATGTTTTCATTTTTTATTGAAAGATTGGAATGATGAAACAATTTTTCAAGAAGCTAGACGAATTGTTGGCGCAGGTAAACTTTTAAAATGTATATTGTTTTTTATATTAATTTTTTATGTTAACAGAGTTTCAGGTATTTAAAACCCTTCAAACAATAATGTAAAATTTTAAAACTTAAAAAAAATTAGCAAATTACTTATAACGAATGGCTACCACTGGCAATTGGTAAAAAATGTTAAAATAAATTGTATAGCTGATTACTTAACAGTTGTTGCATTTACTTTTAGGTCGAAGTGCAATGAAATTAAACGATTTAATGCTGAAGAATCAAGGATACTCATATTCATATGACCCAAACATCAATCCAGCTATTATGAATGAATTTGCTGCGTCTGCTTACCGCTGGCACTCATTTGTTCAGGTAAAATTTGTTGGAAGGCAGGGAGAACGTGAGCTGATAGATAACTTTATTCAACTAAAGATAAAAAATAACTAACTCACTACAGTGAGATACGCCACTCTAAATAGATTAGGAAAACAATACTTGTGTGGTGGCGGAGACCTTTATTGATGAGGACGATCTGGAGGGCGAATACATAAGTATGAGATGGGGGTGATGGTGGCCAGTGGCAAACTGGGAACTGACTGGTGAAGTGTGTCTACATGAGGTCTGCTTATGTAGGGGAGAAAGACTAGTGAGATAGAGGGTGACACGTACAGGTCAGGGTGAGTAAGGGTGAACTGTAAGTGTGTACATTGACTATGATGTGTTGGTGCAGTGCAGCTGGCACTACACTTGCAAGTACCAAAATCACAGAGGTTCTAAAACTTAACAAAATTTAATAATGCAAAAAAATTATGGTTTGGTAAATAATCAACAAAAATATTTTAGGGATTTTATCAACGACTTACTTCAAACGGCCAAATGCAAGAAAACTATAGAATGCGAACAAGTTTTAATAATCCTACTCTGATGTATCGTGATGGAGTAATAGACGAAGTTACCTATGGTCTTTTAGCAGCTAAATCAGAAGCATTTGACCCTATTTTTGTTGACGACGTATGTAGTTTGCAACTGTTTTATTTTAAAATTAACATGTGCTGTGTTTACAGATGAAAAACTTTTTGTTTCCAGCTGGTAATGCAACATTTGGCTTAGATCTTGCCGCCATTGACATTCAAAGAGAACGAGATCATGGGACTCCTCCTTACAACGAAGTGCGTTGTCAACTAAAAATTTTGTTTTTAAATGTCATCTAACTTTATTGATTAGTTTCGAAAAGTTTGTGGGCTTCCGAAAATACGAAATTTTCAAGATTTGAATGGCGTACTTCAACCTGGAATGGCTGAAAAGTTTTCACAAATTTATGAGTTAGTTAGCACATTTTTTAAACTTTTCAAAGTTTTTATACAATTTATTTTAGGCACGTTGATGACATTGAGCTTTTTGTAGCTGGTCATAGCGAAATTCCACTACCAGAAGGACTTGTGGGACCAACATTTGCTTGCATTGCCACAGAGCAATTTCGAAGACTTAAAAGTAAATAAATTAATTTGGTTTGTTTAAACTTTTTAATTGTTTTTAATTTAACAGATGGTGATAGATTTTGGTTTGAAAATGGTGGCATGCCAAATTCGTTTAGTGAACGTAAATATTTGTATTACATTTGTTGCTTAATATAAAAAATTTTTTGTTTTTTAGAACAACTTAATGAATTACGAAAGGTGACTTTGTCTGGCGTTCTTTGTGCCAACGGAGATCAAATACAACAAATTCAACCTTTTGCCATGATTATAAAATCAAGATTGTAAGCAAAACTAAAACTAATTTTCTATGTTTAATTGTTTATTTTTTCAGAAATCAAAACATTGATTGTCGAAACATACCTCAAATCAATCTAAAATTTTGGCAAGAATAATTTAAATTTTTGTAATTAGTTAAACAAAAAACTTAAATTTAAATTTATTTTATTTTATTGAAATCAACAAGAAATAAAAACTAAAGTTGTAAAATTAACAAGTTAACTTCTTTTGACAGCACTTAGATTAATTGGAGAAGTTTTCAAGAGAACATTACTACTTAAAATAGTCAATTTGTCAGTCGTTTTAGAATTTTTGACAAATTCAAACTGGCTCAGCATTTGTGAAAGTCCCATTTTTGCCTCTGTAAGAGCGAATCTCATGCCGATGCCTAAAAAAAGATGATTAGTTTTAAAAAAGAAAAACTTTAACCACCATTAAAGTGGCACCGAGCTCACAGTTTCGAGGACCTGCTCCGAATGGAATGTAGCTGTAAGGGACCAGCTTGTCTCGGTTTTCAGGCATAAATCGTTCTGGATCGTACACTTCAGGGTTGGGGAAAAATTCTTCACAGTGGTGTATGGCATCTAGTAAAAACAATCAAATTAGATACAAAACAAGCGTTTTTAGTAGTCTACTTACAAACGGGAACAAACACTACTTGACCTTTTTTAAGAGTCAACTTTAACTCCGGAATGTAGTAGTCTTCCATGGCTTCACGACCGAGAATAAGAGCAGGGGGATATTTTCGTAAACCTTCAGACAAAACTGCGTCAAGATAAGGCAGCTTGGAAAGAGTTTGGCTAGATAAAGACGGATCTTCTTTTTTCGCCTCAACAATTTCCTCGTACAGTTTTTGCTGAATCTTTGGATTGGTGGCCAACTCAAACAAAACATAAGAAAGTGTACTTGCAGTTGTTTCATAACTGTAAATAATGAACTTTATAGTTGTAATCAAAATATTTAAAGCAACTTTTTACCCAGCTAGAAAGAAAACCATAGCTTGACTCATTATTTCTTCTTCTGATAGGTATTTTGAGCCAATAAAGCTTTTCAACTCTTGATGTTCACGATTTAGTTCATCGACACCTACAACACAAAAATAAAAATTTTTACTTGTTTTGACAAACAAATATTAATAGTTGCATTTTACCTGCATTAACGTGATGGCCATCTACTTGGTTAACCAAATCTTCTTGAAAAGTCTTATTTAGAGTATCATCATTGTGCTCGGCATTTACCATTAACTGCAACATATCGCTAAAATGTTTGTTTTCCTTGTTGTCCTTTCGCTCTTTAATTAGTTGTCGTGATAGTTGTTCAAAAAAATCAAATTCCGGAATGTAAAACGGTTCGACTTTCCAATCAATCAACCACTGCTGAATAAACCCAGGAACAATAATTAGAAGAATTTGACGGAACATTCTAAACTTGAAAAAACTTTTGGCGTTTTTGAGGAAAACATTATCTGAATCCTCCTGGTGGGCGTTTGTTTCAGTGGCAAAAGCGCATTTGGAAATGACGTCCATCGTAAAGTTGCCCATTGGGTCACGAGCTTCAAATGATTTCTTTTTTAGAGCCATTGTGTCAAGTGAGTTTAAAAGTGAGTTAATGCAGAACTGCATCAAGTTTTCCATTTTTTTTAGCTTTGAACTTGTAAACATTGGAGTTAAAATTGACCTTATGCGTTTCCATTCTTCATTACGAGCTTGAACCAGATTTTGACTGAAAATACGATGGCCCGAAGAACGTGCTGGCCTATTACGGAACAAGTGAAAATCTTTAACAAGAATTCTTTTTATAATTTCAGGTTCAGCAATCACTAGTTGAGGCTTTTGAGAAGTGAATACGCCAAAAACTTTGCCATAATTCTTCAAATAGTTTTTGTATAATAAAGGAAACGGCGTTGTTAAAGAGAAAAAATTGCCAAGAAACGGAACTGCGGGAGGACTTTTAATACCACGTTTTGACCAGTAATCAAAGTTTCTCGTAGAGTACCTTAAAATAATTAAAAAATTAATAAAAATTAAAAAAACATAAATTTAATGTTTACCAGTAGATTAATGGAATGGCACTTAGTAAAACAAACAGCCAGTACTGATTTAAAAAGTTCACAATTTCTGTTAAAAAATTCATTGTAATATGATGAATAAATAAATGTTAAACAAATTTAACACAATTAGCAACAAAAAACAGTTTATATATAAAGCTTGTGCACTTTAAGTGTAAATTTATTTACTTGTTGTTTTTATTTGGTATAAAGTTTAACAATACTAAGGCATTAAGTGATACTGAAATATTGCAACAAAATGTACTTTTTATCTTTTATTATGCAACTAAACAGTAGTTTTCTGTTCAAGATAACCAAAAGCTAAACAGTTGTTCATGATAAACTTTAACAATTAGATGTCCTCACAACTTATTAATGAACACATGATCTTAAATTAAACGCAAACAGACAAAAAAATAACAAAAAACTTAAAATTTAAAATTTTATTTAAAATGACTAATTTATAACTAAAATTAAAAAATTAAAAAAAATTTAATTTACTATTTAAAAAGCACAAAAATTGTACACATATTTTAGAAAATTATTAAATCTCATTAATTATGTATTAAAAAACATTGTAATATTTTTTTACTATTCTAGTAATTTCATATCTTTTTATAAAAAATGTTATTTTTAAAAATATCACGCATGCAAAAACTTTAAAACAAAACATTAAGATTGTTTTAGTTATGTGGATACAACTAAATTACAAAATATTTTGTGACTAACATTTTCAAACTTTATCGGTTAAACTAAAAATATTATAATGATTACAATGAATAAACCAATAAATCGAACACTGTTTAAAAAATATAATTATTTAATATATATTTTTTATGTTTTCTTAGGTTTATTTATTATTAAATGTTTGATAAATATTTCAAAATTAAACAACTTACATTATTTCAATAAAGTTAATGCAACAAAAATTAATTTAAAACAAACTCATCTTTATTTAAACAACAACTTTTTAAAAAGAAAAACTTACAAAAATTCCTCATTAACAGTTTTTCAAGTTGATAAAATTTTAAAAAAACTTTCAACAAATTATATTGATCATGATTTTATACACCCATTAGCTAAAAATTTTCATAATCGAAAACCATTTGGACAAAAAATGAAAACAATAAAAGAAGTTACTCAAGCAATTAATGTACTTATTGAACCTAAAACGCCGTGTAAACAAAATAAAGGTCAAAATTTATCTTTAGTTGTTTTAATGCCAGTTGCAATTCATAATGCAAAAACGCGAAATTTAATCAGACAAACATATGGCTCTATTTTAAAAAACAATCAAAAAACTGATTTGTATTTTCTTGTAGGAAAAAGCGATAATTCAAAGTAAGTGTTTTTATTAAAAAAATAAAAAAACTTAATGTTTATTTTAGAATTCAAGATCAAATAAAAACAGAGTTTTTATTATACAATGACATTATTCAATTTGGATTTAAAGAAAATTATTTTAATTTGACGTTGAAAACTATAGCTGCTATTCGGTGGACGGCATTAAACTGCTATAAAGCACGTTTTATTCTCAAATTAGATACTGACACATTTTTGCGTCCAAATTTGTTTTTAAATCAACTAAGTCAATTATCTTTAAACTATATTTACGGACCACATAGAAAGCCAATGCCACCAAATCACGACAAATTTTGTAAATGGTATACTGATCCTTTATACTTTCCATACAAAATGCTTCCACCAGCCCTTTCAACTACTTATATTATTCCTGGTTTATTATTTGGTAAACTTTACCAGGCAATCATTTTAAAACCACAAGATCTTACTTTACCTGCACTGCCTATTGAAGATATTTATGTTTCATTATTGGCATTTAAAGCAAAAATAAAAATACTTAAATTTCCCGGAATTGTTTTTAGTGGACGAGAAAAAGCATTGTCTAAATATAAAAACACTTCAAAATCACTTATTATGAACCTTTCAAATAAAACAATTAAAAAGTTTTGGGATGTTTTAAAATAAAAATATATTTTTAAATAATTTTAAAATTATCATGTTTTTTAATAAATTTTATGCAAAACAAAAACATTGGTTTTAATGTTAAATTTTGTTATATTTAAAATCTTTTTAGTCAATGTTTGTAATTAAATTTTAGTTTGTTTTTTTAAATGAAAGTTTTTTAACATGTTTAACGAGTACAGTAGCGGCCCATAGACCGCTAGCGACGTGGCTTTGAGAAGTTCGAAGTTACGTCGCCTGTTTGTGCATATAAACAGCTACTCTTTGCCATTAAAGTCAGTCTGAACTACGAAGGCTTGTGTTCACTCTCACTCAGCGTTTCTTTGTACATATTTTTGTAAGCAGATGTCACTAGTTTTGCTAAAATGAATTTTTTAAACTTGATTTGTTATTTAATAAAGTATTCATAAATAATTTTTTGTCAAGCTACTACATGTTGTAAATGTTTTAAAAAAGGAGGACCGGTAAAACAACTTAAAAATTCAACCAAAAATTGAGTACAATTTTGAATTTCTCTTGTCAAACCATTTCCGATAATACCCCACATGTAATATCAATTCCGTGCGCAAAAACCTCAAAAGCGGTGTCAAAGTTTTAATTTAATATTGTTGTTTCTTTTTTATGCATTCTTTGTGTTTTTTCTTTTTTTACTATTCATTATTTTAAATGTTTTTTAACAAAGTTTAATTTTGCAAAAACTGCTTAAATAGACGTGCTTTACTTTTGAATTAAGTGTGCAGCATGACCTAGAAATTTTTACCGTTTGTTTGAATAGTAAATACCTGGTCAGTGGGCATGTGTGAATTTAAAGTAAATTTTTAGTTTATCCAACTTCAAACCGGTTAGCCCACTTTAGGGTGGTCATCTGTTAAATGTGTTAAACAGTTAAGGATAAAATAATAAGCAATAAACTTTTAGTTTTATTTGAACATGCATTGTTTTGAATTGTTTTGCAAAAAATTAAACAGTAGACTTATTCAAGTTCAACAACAATTTTAAATAAAAAATGTTTTATTACTTTTTTACTGCGTTTGTTATTTTCAATGCTATTATCACATTTTTATTGAATTGAAATTTTTACTTGATTATCGATTCTACGTTTAAAGTCAACAATAATAAAAAATAATAAAGTTTAAATAAGCAATCTAAAACCTGTTCTGGTAGTATTCATTAGTAATCGGTTTTTTTATTTTATCCCATAGGTCAAGAATAGAAGTCAGTCAAAAGTGTGAATGTTGTGATTATTAAAAAAATCTTGTTTTGCTAAGATTATAAAGGCTAGTATTGTCTGACCGGTTTTCCATATATTAAAAAATTCATTTCATTAACAAAGATTTAAAAAATGTTTTTTTTTGCTTTCTGTTTGTTATCTATGAGGATTTAGTCTAATAGTTTTTGTGAGATTGTACGTCAGTCAGTGTAAATACAATCAAATTTTGTTTATTTTGCTCCCACTCAGTAGCCTTAATTTGTTAACAATTTAAAATAAAAACAGTTGTGTTATATGTGAAAAGGTGTTGAAAAAATTGATGACACTAGCAGCAATTATGCTTAATTGGGGTTTTGACTAATTTACAAGAATTGGTAATCTAGATTACAAACATGAAGTTTTTTTTAACAAATCATTCACAAAATTAAAAAAATTAATTGGCAAATTAATTTTAAAACAAAAAATTAATATGTTAAAAATATTTTTTTTTGTTTTAAAGTTAGTGGGTTTTTTGTTTGCATTGTTTTAAATTTGTTTTTTTGCCAGACATGTTGCTTCCCGTGTCAATTTGCGTGAGTTTTTTATTTTTTGCTTTAATTACACAATCTAATTTGCGTTAATTAATTTGCCACAATGCCGTTTTGAAAGATAACAAATGCATAGCAAGGCAAAAAAGAAAAAACGGAGTAAATTGAATTAAAAACTAATCATATGATGATGACAATTTAAACAATGAGCCATTTGTTGTCACACAAACTGTTTAATGTGTGACATAAAAAATAATGCTCATTTTTAAACGTGCGGAAGTGAACCGGCAAACTAAACAGGTAATAAACAGCATCCACACTTTAGGGTTTTAACACCATGTTGTTTTGTTTTGTGTCAGTGTGAAAAGGTTAAAAGTGGCGAAAAGCACAATAAATGCTTTTATGATATTTTTATTTGAGTAAATGTGTTTTAAATAATATTATTTCACATGACATATTAAAGCACCATTAAAAATAATAAAAAACATTTTTAAACAAGTTTTGGTGTTACTAAAAACATTTATAACAAAATCAACTACTATGACCCAGCTTGTAAATCAGTATAGCGTCTCAATTAACCGACAATTTAGTTATCCACTGTCAAAAAATTTTAATAAAAAGCCAGTGTTTTGGCAGCATTTATTTGATTGAATAACTGAATATATATTCAAGGAAGGCAATCCTTTCCTTAAATAGCGACAATTAAGCAGACAAGTGCTGACTGAACTACAACTACTACTAGACAAGAAGCCAAGCAAACGGATCACCAAGGAGTGGTCTATTGTTTTCTGGCCAAATGTTTTCTCTCCTTTTCTCTTAACTAGCTGAGCTGGATGAGTGTGTGCTGTGTGTGTGTTTGTTGTACGGTGGTCTTCACACAACAGCAACAGCAACAGCTGCAGACAATACAGGTCACATTGGCGCACAGTGATTTCAGCCCTGTTTCTACTACTACTACTTACCTATTCAGCAGCCCAATTGATTGGTTGTAGAGTGAGTAGTAGTAGGGGGGGGAATTGAGTGAACCCCGTTAATTAAGCCTATTCTAGTTTGGCCGGGCAAGACAATGCCTACCACTCAAATGTGATGCATAGTGGCGGCTTTTTAGAGAACACTGCTTGAAAAGTAGCAACGTACGCGTGTTTGCTCAAAAGAGGCAGAGGAGGAGTGCATTGCGCAAATGAGACGAGCAAATGGCGAGGTCTCAATTGAAACCTCTTTTTTCTCCCTCTTTTCTTATGTTACTATAGTCGATCAGTTGAGCGACAGCAGCCATCGAAGTCCACCTCAGCCAGTCAATCAGCCCGGTCAGAAATACTGGCAGAAAAGAAAAGTTGCAACTCTAAGAATGGCGCAAAAGGGGATA